TCCCGGGAAGTGTTACAATGCCGGCTCGCGGTATACTGAGATGTCGCAGCGGATCCCGACGTAGATGACGGGATCCGCCCAGCTGCGTGAGTGACAGCTGGCTCCTCCTATCTAGAGGCAGAGCCAACTGTACCCGCCCCCTCCCCCGTCCGTTCCGCCAGTCAGCGCTGGAGGATCGGGGAGGGGGGAATCCAGCCCCTCCCCTGTCACGGCAGAGAGCCGTGACAGGATAGAGAAGTGAGCGAATGCCGGTATGTGTTCGCTCACCTCCCGATCTACTGAGCCGACCTGTGACAGTCTCATTGTCACAGGTCGGCTAGGACTATGAGGTGAGTGAAATGCACTCCCCCTCCCCCCCTCATAGTTCTCCTTTAACAAGCAGGAAATGCCTCCGCGTGTGGTGTGTACAAGAGGCGAGAGATGGATTCTCTGACTCAGTACAGCAGGCGCAGGGACAGGACGCATCCAGCAGGGGGAGACAAACGACTCGTGTATTGTGTATGGACACTCTTACCCCGCGCCCATCTCATGTGTTCCTCCGAGCGTGGGGGGAGCGCGAGACTTTGTAGCAGTTTTATAGCTTTACATGTATGGCCTCATTCACACACAACGCCAGCAAAATTGTATATTGCGTCTATACGCGTATATACGAGCGTACATGCGTGCACTATATGCAATCCCAGAATGCATCACTCGTAATGGAATTTTTAATCTGCTGTACGCATGTACGCGCGTAAACACACGTATGTGCACGTAAATACGCTGCCCGGACGCATCTCTGTTCCATTCTGTTTTTGCGCATATATATACGGTACGCAAATATACGGCTCCATACGCGGCTGTGTGTATGGAGCTATTTATTTGCATATGTTGTATATGGTACAATACGCACGTATGAGCGTATACGCGTGGCAGTGTGAACGAGGCCTAATTCTGATCAACTTGATGTTCAGATATTGCGCTTTACTGCTTTCCTCTCTCGATGCAAGTCTACCAATCTGCTTAAAGTAGAACTATGAGGAGGGGGGGAGGGGGTGATTTCCACTCACCTCATAGTTCTAGCCGACCGGTGACAATGAGACTGTCACAGGTCGGCTCAGTAGATCGGGAGGTGAGGGAACACATACCGGCGTTCGCTCACCTCTCGATCCTGTCACGGCTCTCTGCCGTGACAGGGGAGGGGCTGGATTCCCCTCTCCCCGCCCTGATCCGCCAGCGCTGACTGGCGGAACGGACGGGGCGGGTACAGCTGGCTCTGCCTCTAGATAGGCAGAGCCAGCTGTCACTCACGCAGCTGGGCGGATCCCGGCACAATTGTCGGGATCCTCTTCAGCTGCGGCGTCTCAGTATAGCGCGAGCAGCAGCTCGCGGTATACTGTGGCGTCTAACTGGGATGGACTACAATCTCATGTTTAGTTCACTGATTTATATTGAGATTGTAGTCCATCCCGGGGGGCGGAGCTTGGAGCGGTGACTACTTTACAACACACACAGGGACCATGGGGAACAGACGTAGCC